TATTACTCTTTAAAACGGTTTACTTAACAAGAGACAAATTACACAAGAGTTCCTTCGTGTTTTCATTGACATTTATGCAATTGATTTTTATTTGTAAATTGTTGATTTATATTCATAAACATATCATATTTCCATCATAAACAACATGACTTATGATATTTTTTGACTGCATTTCTAAGTATTACTTCATTTTCCACCGAATATAATTATGCCAAGAATATAGAAGACATTCAGTAATAAGTGACATATAACGTTTACGTCAGTAACAAGGTATGATAATTGCAAAATAAATTGCTTTGTTTATAAAAGAAAAGCTTTAATTCTATGACATTTTAAAGTCAATAACAAGTATGTATTTTGTACCTGACGGCCTTACAGGGGTGAAGGTCGTAAAGTATAAAGATGTTCATTTGTTACACAGTCCAAAACTATTAACACTTTCTGCACTAACCTCTAATACTCTAGTTTGTAATTAACTTAAAATATTTTCTTAAAAGGAACATAACTTTTTTAATATATAAAGTTTCTATAAAAACACTTCAATTTCAAGGCAACGGGAAAAAGAACCGGGATTGAAATGATTTAGAATATAATTAAAGTGACATTATGCCAATCATAGAGTAAATTCAGGTACTTTACATTTTGTCATTTTAAACATCACCCGAGTAATCAATGAATTCTCTATAATAAGTTCCCAATTGCAAATATACACCTTTATACACAATAAGTATGGTATGGGGTTACAGTATCACCATGTTTTCATGTCAATCTCGTCATTATCATTATGCAGTCACGATCTCAGAGCATGTAATTACCTGATTTATACGTTTGTCTTCTTAAGAGTTGATGTAAGAGAATTGTTAGGATTGTTAAAGGACTCTCATTAGTCGCGTCATTTAGTATCTATATAAAGATGTTTCTAGAACAAAATGTTAAGGAGATGATGGAATTAAAACGTGAGAAGAAGAATCAATATTCTCTAGGGAAGAGTACAAATAACGAAAAGCTAATTAAAAGCTATTAGACAATGAACATTTTGTCGGTATTTTTCTCCACTTCGAAGTTAATTTGTCGCTTTCCTAATATCTAAGATTCGATATATTGATGTTGGCGTCTTCGGTGTAATAGTGTAATGGTTATGTGAGATTAAATAAGTTACACTCTAAAAGATGCCACAAGTAATTTATTACTACAAATTCCTTCAGTAGTTTTTTTCGGGATTAGATGTCAACTGCATTCCACGCCTTAATTGACCTAAGGTATTAGATGCCCTAATGCAAAACCACCTCTTTATAGAGTACTTATATTCAGTAAGGAAACAAAGTTTGCAATTGGGTGTGATTTCGTAAGCATACTGCATAAAATCTAAACAAGTTTAACTTTATTACACACATGAAAATATTGAGTTTCCTACTTATATTGCTGATGGTATTTTGTACAAATTAGTTTTTGTCATAAATAGGCTTCATACTATAGGAATATAATTTTTTTCCTGACAATACATGCAAATTTTGAAGCGCTAAAGCGAACAGAAAAAATCCATATTATGTTAGTGACGAATACGGTACTATCTATGGAAGTGACGGACTATTTTTCTACGCGGGTTCCCACCTTTGCAACGTGTTGCGTAGCATATAGAAAAGGGAACCGATATAAAAAGGGCCTTTAATAAAGATTTAGTTATAAAAGATGATAAGATATACAATATCATCGATGTATGGCGTAAATTCGACCCTGTCATAGAATCACTTAATGTTTTGTTTATGTTACAAAACCTTGTCAAATATTCGTTATAGCTGCATGCCTCGAGATTATCAAACCTGAGAAAAATGCACTAAGATTTTAAGAAAATTAAAAAGATGCAAGTAAATGATTTAAAATGCACTAAGATTTTAATAAAATTAAAAAGATTCAATTAAATGATTTAAGTAATAATTTACATTTTTGTGCGAACAAAAACTGGTTTAACAGTATTTTTTACCATTTATGATGCGTGACTATCCCAGTAAGGGTTATTTTTTGTATATTTTGACCTTTTTTGATACTTTACGCGGATTTTCAGTGCCATTTGAAATGTGTTAATTGCTTTTATTGTTCATTCTACAATATTTTCCTTTTGATACATTTTCAGATTTCGTGAAAATAAGCATGGTATTGTAACGACCATACCCATTTTACGTTCGAAAATAAACCCCGTAATCGGAAACTACTAAAGTATCAAAGAAAACATCTCTACTTCATGACAAGGGATGGGTACAATTACATTTATAATTTAATTAATAAATTATTACAATTAAGTATGAAAAATCATATAATTAAAACTATTTGTTAATTAGGCCAAAACTCAATTACTATAATTGTAATTATTTAATTACTTTGCGAAATTCTTCATTAAGGTGACGGAGTCAATTATCACTGAAAATACCTAAAATGAGATATTTTGCTAAGTAGATTTATCAACCTTTTCTGAACACATTCGTGATTTAATTTTGGAAGCAGTTAGTCCAAAAAAATGGGTTTTTAAACGTTTTAAAACGGTACCTATACTATTTGTATCTGCTATTCGCGTAACATGTCAATTATCGATAACGCTCCGCCCCCTGTTGAGGCATCAATGAGGGAAATCGGTAGTTCCATACATCCGTGAATTACAGGTCCATACTGGTCCATACTTCTCGTAATACATGTATCGTACAACTACCGTACATCTTTTATGAATATCTCAACATTTAGCCTTTTTTATAAATTAAGAAATTGTCGGCCAATGTATGAAACATAAATAATTAAGCATAGCGGCAAATCGCACGACCACGGGGTTGATTAAATATGTAGTTGCTAAAATATCCATAATGTGTGAAAATAATTTGTCTGTCCCGTTAATCTGATAGATATTACATTGAGTTGATAGACTTTTGTACGGATTCAAGGGCTTACTTTACATTCAACCTCGTTTTCTAACAATGTCAAGTAAAACAACAACAAAAACAGACAACATTTTTTATGTGAACGCCTATATGACTTGTGGTAAGGTGTCCCTGACAAATTTCTAAACCATTTTAGATTGTCTAAGGATGATTATTTCTCTATGAATAAAAAAAGATATTAAAATATATTCTCAGTGAAAATAAATTGTTCGCTAGTAAATCGGACACAGTACTACAAAGTATGAAATTTATTGTCTATCCCGGTAGAAACTGGATCTCTATGCCGTGCATAGATGATATTCATAATAGAAGTCAAGAAGGCCAGATCATAATGATCGAGTAATACCTTTTATTTCTATTAAAATATGTGAAGCATTATCAATTTGGTGGAAAAAATATATAATATCCCGTTCTTATTTGTACATCTACCATGGACTTTAAAAGACTGTCAGAAGCACAGTTTTTTGTTATATTTATTTTATATTTTAACGGAATTTCATACACGAATACACAGGCAGAGTGACACTGGTATAATACAATAATAATGCTGATGATAATAATAATAAACTTCAAAAAGGAAACAATTAAATACCCCGCTAGCGGTGCGCAAATGCGTCCATTTCCCCCCACTGAGTGCCTCAAATTTTACCGATAGTCACGTGACATGTGCGACAGATACCAGACGGACAGTAAATCACGTTAAGAATTGAAGAATTTTCGGCTATAAACTGATATTAATCAGCAGCTTTTTAATTGGTCAGATGTCACTGGGTCATAAAATGTTGTTAGAGTATGTAACCGCAACTTGTGACCCTCTCTGGTGCGATATTTGTGCATTATGCAATTATTTAGCGTGAAACGTAGGGGTCCGACAGAGAACAGCCGATTTATGACACTTCGTTTGATGCGGGTCGGACTAACTTTGAATCGGCATAACTTTTTTAATAATCAAGCAATTAACATGCGGTTTAAAGCACATGAAAGGAAATTCATTTACGGAGGGAACTGTGTCAGGGATTTTTGTTTGCTCAATCAGCGACTTAATTATCTTTAATTACGTAATATGTATGGTGAAAAAAGTCGCATAAAATGTTTGACGTTACGTAATATTTTTTTGAGAAACGATAGAAAAAATTTGAGACACGGTTCCCCAGATAATATAAGTATGGTTATTTTCCAAAAGTTTGATGACAAAAAAATAAAAAATGACTTTGATATGACGATTTAAAAGTTTAGGATTTTTATTCAAAATCAATCATTTACAAAGGCAATTTTTTTCAAATATGTTATTATTTATGATGATCAACGACATTTAATGCACAAAGATTAAATAAATAACAATTATTACTAAAATAACTTTGTTTAAATGACATTTATGTGAGTACCACGGAAAGTGTCTGTTGTCACCTTAATTGTCAATAAAATTCAATTAATCTTAATTCTGTGCACATTAACCATTGATCTGAATTAGGTAAAATGCATAGTTTTTACCTGTATTGTCTGATATAGATAATTTTCGAAGAAGTGACAATTGATGATCAACTGTCAATGATTTTAATACAGGTAGCTTTTCATGGGTATTGTCATGATTGATATAGCCTAAGGTATTTACTGGCAAGTGTTTGTTGGTGACTATTGTTAAGATTAAAACTTGCCTGAAGTCAAGGGCCCACAAAAGAATTCACTCATCTTGCAATTTTTTCTACAAAATAGATTCAACACCATATTGTTACATTCATTAAAGCAGGCAGGATGATTCTCCCGCACCGCACTAAAACATTTTATTCTTCCAAAGGATTTAACAGGAAATTTAAAAGCAAAATGCATCCATTGCTCTTAAGAGTACGAAGGAAGTTTAACTGTTACTTCAAGCTTTGTTTCTCATTTAAAGGTTAGTAATGCTAATTGTCTTTTGAGCGATTTAAGTACTTAATTGTATAAAATAATTGGATTATCAAAGTTTTCATACATTTTGCAAGAGCTTTAAGATGATTGTAACGAGTGACTTTTGACTGAAATAATTACCAATTCTCAAGAATACAACAGTTTTAATGTTGATTTTATGTATAATTTCAGAAGAAACATGGTGAAGTTTATCTTGAAAGTACGCATCCAGCAAGCCCAATTAAAGGCCCAGTTAAAGGCCAGACTTCACGTGACGGCTATATGACTGAACACAGTGAATCACAGAACCACTCTCCAACAGATCCAATACAACTGATGATCAATGATGCCCTGGTATCCTTTATCGCCGGTGATCTGATATCGCTCTCAGTAGTTTAAAGTGTAAACCTCAAGATAGCTGAAAAAACTTGATCCCAAGTACAAAGTACCTACTAGGAAACTTTTAACCAATTCATTGCTCAACGCAAAATGTTCAGAAGTTTGCTTAACGCAAAATGTTCAGAAGTAAGAAAGGACATTATGGTTGAATTAAAAGCTGCCCAGAGAGAAGACTTAAGAAGTACGAGTGAGGGCTATATCTTTGCAGCAATTCTTTATCCTAGGTTTATATTATTTCACATTACATGTCCCAATCCTTTCACCCTTGTGTCCACTCCAGGTTTTTGTTTGGTGCCTTCTGGGTGTCCTACTTGAGTGTGTCGGGGGGCCGCGTCCTGTAAACGTTGTCTTTGCCTGTTTTTAAAGCTAACGTGGTGATTGAAAGAGAACGAAGAGAATGAATATATAGAACAATTACGTGGAAATATTAACTCTTTTGAACACTCTACCGATAATGTCTCTCCTCCACCTAAAAAGCCAAGAACAGAATCCTCCATCTTTAGTTTCATTCCACAGACACCTAAGCGCCAGAGACATGCCTCTAGAATAAACGCAGAGCTGGAAAATATCTAGCAGAAGACTGTGAAAAATTCGAGTCTGACCCTCTTACATATTGGTCATTAAATGATGTTAGACTGCCAACAATTTCCAAGCTTGCAATTCAATATCTGGCTCTACCAGTCTCATCGACACTCGTGGAGAGACTGTTTCTTATTGCAGGCAAAGTTTTTCGTCCTGATCGATGTAATACGAGTGACAAAAACTTTGAATCTCTAATGTTTGTTAAATGTAACAAGGCATTGTGAACAAAAAACAGACTGATGAGTTTGATTTCAAATTTTCAAAGTGAAAATAAATTTTTCTGTATCTGGTGTGCTTTGTAACTATGTTTTGTTTTTCATATTAAAGCAGTTTAACTAGAAAATAATTAATTGTAATTAATTTTTTTGTTCATATTTAATTGTAATTAATTAATAACAATGTGAAAATCCATGTAATTATAATGAAATTGGGAACTTTCCATTTTACTTTTAATTAATTAATTACTTTTAAAAGAAATGGTACCCATCCCTGTTCATGACATCGACTTTTAATCATCAGTACACAGTATGCATAGATAACTTCATTTTTGTGACATTTATCTCACAGCAAACAATAAAAAGTACATGTTCACCTTCTAGTTTTCATGCACATAGCTTTTTTCATTGTTTTGGTCGCGATAATTAATTACAAAAATGGCGAATTACGCCTATTTGAAAACTATATCAAAACAATAGGGCCATTATGGCCCTGAGTCGCTCACAAGAAACAGCTGCTTGTCCATTATTTTTTCAATATTTTCTAATATTAAATTCAAGCATGGAATGTCTTACAAAAATTTGAAGAAATGCCATGACCTTGGGCATTTAAGATTAAGCTTAAACGAGTGACAAAAACTTTGAAGCTCTAATGTTTGTTAAATGTAACAAGGCATTGTGAACAAAAAACAGACTGATGAGTTTGATTTCAAATTTTCAAAGTGAAAATAAATTTTTCTGTATCTGGTGTGCTTTGTAACTATGTTTTGTTTTTCATATTAAAGCAGTTTAACTAGAAAATAATTAATTGTAATTAATTTTTTTGTTCATATTTAATTGTAATTAATTAATAACAATGTGAAAATCCATGTAATTATAATGTAATTGGGAACTTTCCATTTTACTTTTAATAAATTAATTACTTTTAAAAGAAATGGTACCCATCCCTGTTCATGACATCGACTTTTAATCATCAGTACACAGTATGCATAGATAACTTCATTTTTGTGATATTTGCGATGGTAATATCACTTAAAATAACTTATTTTCTACGTTGTAGCCGTTTTAATGATCAATTAGACACACGTTGCTAATTTAGACATGGTGGTCTACAATGTCTAAATTTCAAGGGGAAATACAGTTTTCAAGGCTTCTCGGAAGGCAAACAACTGGCTGCGTCACAATCTAAACCTAACAACTAGTCTGTAATCACACACCTGAAATAAATGCATTTCATAAAAAACATATACACATTTATCTCACAGCAAACAATAAAAAGTACATGTTCACCTTCTAGTTTTCATGCACATAGCTTTTTTCATTGTTTTGGTCGCGATAATTAATTACAAAAATGGCGAATTACGCCTATTTGAAAACTATATCAAAACAATAGGGCCATTATGGCCCTGAGTCGCTCACAAGAAACAGCTGCTTGTCCATTATTTTTTCAATATTTTCTAATATTAAATTCAAGCATGGAATGTCTAACAAAAATTTGAAGAAATGCCATGACCTTGGGCATTTAAGATTAAGCTTAAACGGGGTCAATCAAATAAATATGAGCAAATGTGATAAAAGACTAACTAAGAATGCTACTGACAAAGTTTGGTGATCATCCATCAATTAGTTCTGTAGAAATAGACATTAAAAGGTATTTCTATTTTAAGCTTTAGTAGCCACTTGAAGGGGCCAATCAAATTAATATGAGCAAACTTGATTATAGACTACCCAAAAATGCTACAAAGTTTGGTGACCATCCATCAATTATTTCAGTAGGAGATGATGATCAAAGTTTTTTTCCCTATTTTTTAGCTTTAGCGGCCCCTTCGTTGCCTTTGTCTTGTTGATCTTTATTCTTTTTTCATGGAATGGCACTATTTTGTCACATTGAAGGTTCCATGATAACAAAAACCTGGAGTGGACATAAGGGTGAAAGGAGTGGGACATGTAATGTGAAATAGTATCAACTAAAACGGGCCCAAAAGGGAATTAAAGGGATAAGGGTTGTAAGGGTGAAAAGGTGGAGAGGGGGTTAAAAATAGGTAAGAGGGGGCTTGAGAAAATACCTACCGTCAACGACAATCCAACAAGACAGACACCACAAAACATGTACACATCCAAAACAAGTAACAATACAGACATGAAAAACACGTGAAGGAACACAGAGGGGTACCGCCTTGGAACGGTCAGTGGTAGTTAAACCACTGGGGAGTTTAAACCGGTTTTAGGCGCGCCAAACCTCACTCTTAGCCCTAATATGTTCCTGAATGACATCAAAGGGTAAATAAAATTAATCCCCACCAAGTGAAATTCTAACAATGGCCATGGTTACATTAGACGAAATAAATTAAACACATACAAACTTATGTAAATATGTAGAAAAAGGTACAGCCTAATGACCTTACCAAAGTATTTGATGCCTTAAAGGAAGGCAGAGCAACAAGAAAATCACCTACAAGGGCCCGACGAAGTAAGACAGAAGACGAAAATTAATACAATTCAGTCCCAAAGGGCTTTAAGAACTGTCCATCATAGAGTATCCCACTTGTCCGTCAGCTGTAATTAAAAGAGGAAAGCGTAACGTCCAACTGTAAAAGGGTTGAACACCAAGCATGCGGTATGCCTTAAAATAATTGGGCCATAACCACTTTTAATAAACCTTTTGATAATTTTAGTGAAGACGGCAGAAACATTACTATGACCCATGATCCTATGAAGTTTGTAAAATATGAAAAACAAGATCAACAAGGAAAGGCGGCGTTCAATGAACGCAACCCCCATATGACCCAGCAACAAGAACCAATGGCAAGGAGCCCAGGTGGACCCCAAACATAAAAAGGACAGGGCAACGACACGTTAATCATTAAATGATAAATAATTTGTAACTGATTAGGAATTCAAAGAAAATAATAATAGGCCCACAAAGGGGAAGGGGACAGGAGACCGGGGGAAGGGGGGGGGGGTAATCAAAGAAATAAAAACTAGAGGCAATGGGGAAGATACTTACCGTAGACGAGAAAACAACAAGGGACACAAGCAAAAGTGTCACCAAAACAGTATGAAACAACATAGACATACATCTGAGGAACACAGTGGGGCGCCGCCTTGGAACGGTCAGCAGCATAATAATGACTGCTGGGAGTTAATCCATAGAAGTCAGGCCTGCTAATACCTAGTCGTAAAAACGTTTTTAAATTACATTAAATTTAAAAACTAAGTCTGAATAACGATGGTAAAAACTTTGTAAAATATTTACGCAATTTATAATAGCAATAACCTTGTTTAAGAAGTTTCACGTTTGTTAGTAATAAATAAATTGCGTTCATTAAAATCATCAACACGACTGCACGCCCGAGCAAATCTAATTAATTGAGAAATATACACCCCATATGATGTATCTCCATCTAAATGTGGATAGTTAACAGTATTAAAATCAAAATCCTCTCTTTTATCGTAGATTTTAGTTACTATAGTATTGTTAATGATAGAAATGTTTAAATCTAAAAAATATCTAATAACGTCTGAAGATATAGTTTTCTTTTCAATTTAAGTTCACTGGGATATATTTTAGAAGTCGGATTTTACAGAAATCATCACCATATTGAGACGACGGTGTTTGCGTGCAGGATTTGGGTGGCTACCTTGAAGGTCAAGGTCACAGCATGACCTTGCAGCAAATCGTGTCCGGCCTATAACATCGTTATTTGAAGTCGGATTTTACAACTATTTCACAGAAAGGATCACCATATTCAGACGACGTGTCGCGCGCAACATTTGGGTTGCTACCTTGAAGGTCAAGGTCAAAGCATAACCTTGCAGCAAATTGTGTCAGGCCCATATCTTCGATATTTGAAGTCGGATTTTACAACTATTTCACATAAAGGATCACCATATTCAGACGACGTGTCGCGCGCAACATTTTGGTCGCTACCTTGAAGTTCAAGGTCACAGCATGATATTGCAGCAAAATCGTGTCCGACCCATAACTTCGTTATTTGAAGTCGGATTTTACAACTATTATACAGTTATGAGTGTGACGACGTTTCGCGCGCATTCGGTCGCTACCTTGTTTTCACACTTTGAACTTTATCTGTGACATAACTCTGACATTACAAGAGGTATACCTTCCTGTGTCCAAAACCTATTCGGGGAGCATCA